CTGCTCTTAAATTTTTAAAACTTTTATTTTCCCCTTGTTCCCCAGTTAAATTTGACATCCTTTTTTAATAAATTGGTTAAAGGTTTTGCCTTTGCTGAAAAATCATTTATAGATTTTCTGTAATATCCTACTAAACCTAAAAATTCTTTTACATATTATGGGGTTTTAGGTGTTGGAAAGTTTTGTACTGCTTCTATTGTTTTAGGATTAGGTTTGTTGTGACGCAAAACACTCGGTTATCATTGAATCGGTAAGGGTTCTGTCAATGGTACCTGAAAAGGTACTTTCTTCTCCACTGTCCGTCAAGTTTATTCTTTTTCGTTTTCTTTTACGACCAATTATAGATTTAAGTTAATAGAATTCGTTAATGATTTCAAAAGAAAATGAAAGTCCTAAAATTCCTGTTATGTCCGTACTACTTTCGCAATTTATTATTTGAAAAATTCAGTACAGCATAATTGACACAAACTTTTGCTTCTCCTATTATATTTATAGTACTGTCTCTAATTGAACATTTTATTAAACGCTCAATACCCAAAAAGAAGATTAAGCTACTTTCTTTAATTAAATTAATAGGTAATGATGAATCTATTATAAATATTCTTTCAAAATCCTTAAAGAAACATGATCTCAAAAGAATTTTTTGATATAATAAATTCTTTCTCTCAATAAACTGAAAATATGAATTCAACGGAAATACGTCTTATGGCGGCGACGGATGACGGTAATGACGGCCAGGTAGTACTATTGTTCCGCGGCTGGAAACTCGCTCTCGCCTTTAGGTTGATAGGCTAACTGCTTATTTATATTTCTGCCTTATTTATAATTAAACTTAGAGAAAGATCTTCTTTAATTAAATTAATGTTAATACAAGAATTAATTATGAATAAACCTCGTATTTTTTATATCACTTAAAGAAATATGAATTTTTGGGTAAATTTCGATATTAAATTCAATATTATTTGAGGGATTGGATTTGGACATTACCGAATTTTATTTTCTAGAAAAGCACCTGGGTGTGATAAAGGAAAGACAAGTTTGGAAAATCTGTTCTGCAGTACGTTCGTGTTCTAAATGTAAAATTTCATAATCTAATACCCAATTATTAAAGTAATCAGTGATGAATATTATATTTAAAAATGGCGCGCCTAAAATACCTATAATTTCAGAACCGATCTCAACATTTAAAGCTCCAAAATTTACTGAGAAATCATGAGAATTTATGCTTACAGTACCTCTAGATACGACTGTATTTCAACGGGCGAAATTTATTTCATTAGTATTAATATGGGCAAATCCACGGAACCGTACGATTTCATGTTACTCCTGGCTTAAGTTATTTTAATCACATTAAATAATTTTTTTTTGGCATCAATATCTTTTTCATAATATATTTAACAGAAAAAGCTAATAAAATCATAATTTTCATACTGCTCTTGTGAAATAAAAAATCATTTAAGAGCTTAAAAAGTCAAGTTCGACTTGTTACTGTGGTAACTTTTTCGACTTTCATGAGAATATTTTTTTCAGCGTAAGAGGAAATCATCTAACACTCGTGATAAATGAAACTTTTGATGATAAAAAAAATATATATATTGTTATATGTTATATTATATATATACGGGACGTTTCGCGCCAACCGGGCCACCCATCTCTCCAAAATTGAGAGCTTTCAAAATTATTGATTATATATAGAAATTATTTGTATATATAAGTACTTTTGAAAAATGAGTGGCCTTTGAAAAATCCAATATGGCGGCTGAAATATAACCCATAAAAGAATGAAAACAAGGAAAGATGGTTACAAACATATAAATAAAAATGAATATAATGAAGAAAACAGCTCTGCATCGACATAAAATTCATCACTTAAGAATAGACAATGTATACCATAAGTGAAAATAAAGCTGAGGTTTTTTTCCATGAGCTATGTAAATATGAAAATGGGACAACAATAATTTTGTGAGAAACAGAATACTAAAGTAGGCGGTGCTGATAACGGGTACACCTGAAGATCATCTTCGAGGATTTAGGTAGGCACCACCTACTTTAATATTCTGTTTCTATATTTCCTATATTAACTACATTTTATATTTCCTATATTTACTACATTTCCTATATTTCCTATATTTACTACATTTTATATTTCCTATATTTACTACATTTCCTGCTCTTTTATTGAACCCTTTTTAAATTTACTATTTTATTATTTAACTTACTTTTCCACTAATATTAATTTAATTCCCTCTTATATTAAAAATTTATTAATTAATGAAATCTAAATTTAATATTTACTTAATTTTTAAAAGTCCTTTCTTTTGCCTATACAAACTAAAATTTTCATATTCATATGGAAAACAAAGTTTTCATTAATCAACATAATAAGAATAATCATATAATTCGTATAATAAAAAATTATAAAATTAAATTAATTTATTAAACAAATAAATAAAGAACTGAACCCCCCTTCCCCCCTTATAAATAAGGATTTATTCTAATTCTATTGATATAATTCTTACAAATTTTCAAAAAAAGTTCCATTTTTTTTACATTTTTTACATTTTTATATATTTCCTATTTTTCCTACATTTTATATTTCCTACATTTCCTACATTTTATATTTCCTATATTTTCTATATTTACTACATTTTATATTTCCTATATTTACTACATTTCCTATATTTCCTATATTTACAACATTTCCTATATTTCCTATAATTACTACATTTTATATTTCCTATATTTACTACATTTCCTGCTCTTTTATTGAACCCTTTTTAAATTTACTATTTTATTATTTAACTTACTTTTCCACTAATATTAATTTAATTCCCTCTTATATTAAGAATTTATTAATTAATGAAATTTAAATTTAATCTTTACTTAATTTTTAAAAGTCCTTTCTTTTGCCTATACAAACTAAAATTTTCATATTCATATGGAAAACAAAGTTTTCATTAATCAACATAATAAGAATAATCATATAATTCGTATAATAAAAAATTATAAAATTAAATTAATTTATTAAACAAATAAATAAAGAACTCAACCCCCCTTCCCCCCTTATAAATAAGGATTTATTCTAATTCTATTGATATAATTCTTACAAATTTTCAAAAAAAGTTCCATTTTTTTTACATTTTTTACATTTTTATATATTTCCTATTTTTCCTACATTTTATATTACCTACATTTCCTACATTTTATATTTCCTATATTTCCTACATTTTATATTTTCTATATTTACAACATTTACTATATTTCCTACATTTTATATTTCCTATATTTACTACATTTCCTATATTTTTTCTATATTTACTACATTTCCTACATTTTATATTTCCTATATTTCCTATATTTACTACATTTTATATTTCCTATATTTACTACATTTCCTATATTTCCTATATCTCCTATATTTACTACATTTTATATTTCCTATATTTACTACATTTTATATTTCCTATATTTACAACATTTCCTATATTTCGTACATTTTATATTTCCTATATTTACTACATTTCCTATATTTCCTATATTTACTACATTTCCTACATTTTATATTTCCTATATTTCCTATATTTCCTATATTTACTACATTTTATATTTCCTATATTTACTACATTTCCTATATTTCCTACATTTTATATTTCCTATATTTACTACATTTCCTATATTTACTACATTTCCTATATTTCCTATATTTACTACATTTTATATTTCCTATATTTACTACATTTCCTGCTCTTTTATTGAACCCTTTTTAAATTTACTATTTTATTATTTAACTTACTTTTCCACTAATATTAATTTAATTCCCTCTTATATTAAAAATTTATTAATTAATGAAATCAAAATTTAATATTTACTTAATTTTTAAAAGTCCTTTCTTTTGCCTATACAAACTAAAATTTTCATATTCATATGGAAAACAAAGTTTTCATTAATCAACATAATAAGAATAATCATATAATTCGTATAATAAAAAATTATAAAATTAAATTAATTTATTAAACAAATAAATAAAGAACTCAACCCCCCTTACCTTCCTTATAAATAAGGATTTATTCTAATTCTATTGATATAATTCTTACAAATTTTCAAAAAAAGTTCCATTTTTTTTACATTTTTTACATTTTATTTAAAAAAGATTTTATCTATTTTTAGATTATGAGTCTAACAGTTAATATAGTTAATAGTCTAATAATTAAATAAATGCTTATTATTTTTAACATTAATTTATGTTGATTAAATTAGAATTTTAAAGAAAATTCTTTTAAAATTTTTAAATTAATATTTTATCTAACTAACTTAAATAAAAATATTTAAAGAATAAAATTTTTATAATGAAATTATAATGTTTTTTTTAAACTATATTTTTATATTATAAAATAAATTTTTAAAATAATTTTTAAATGCAATTTAAATGTTATAATTTTAACTATTATTCTTATTTTAAAATTAGAAATTATTTTCAATTCAATTGTTAACAACAATTTTCCGCTCTTTGGATTTAATTAAAGAAAAAAAAATAAAAAATTATTTTAATTTAAATTAGAAATTTAAATGTAAATTGTTTCAATTTAAAATAAAAATTATAACTCTGACTCCACAAATCAATATTGGGATCAGAAATTACGCGAAACTGACCCACCCCTGAGCCTTCTTGTGACAACCATCTTGGTTTTTTATCTCTTTCTTTTGTATATGTTAGAGAAACACGGAATGAAAACATGGCCACCACAACAAGGCTCTCACCAGATGGCGTATCGCAGTATTTCAGATCCCAATTTTTAACTTAAACTATTTAAATTACTATATTAAAATTAATTAAATTTTTTTATTGGAAATAAAATATATTAAATTATATTATATAATATAAAAACTAGAAAATCATCTTAATAACTTCAATATTAAATTTTTATTTAAACTATTTAAAATATAAATTATTTTTGTAAAATAATTTTAATTTGACATATTAATGTTATTTTTTAACTAAATTTAAATTTAATTTATTTTTATTAAATTTAAAAAGTTATTCAATTAACCTTTAATAAAGTGCTTTCGTACAAATATTAAAAATTTTATTAAAGATAGAAACCAATCTGGCTTACACCGATTTTAACTCAAATCATGTAAGATTTTAAAAGTCGAACAGACATAATTATTAAAACTCTCCTTTTAATATTTACCTTAATTCAACATCGAGGTCATAAACATTTTTATCAATAAGATCTCTCCAAAAATATTATGCTGTTATCCCTAAAGTAACTTAATCTAATAATTTAAAATTTAACACTCTTTATAATTATATTTATATATATATTATTTAATAAAAAAATTTAAATTTTTTTAATGTCCCCAATTAAATAAATTTAATTTATAATAAAAATTAATAAATTATATTAAACTTAATTTTTTTTTATAAAAAAGCAACTATAACTGTACAAAACGAAAAGGGTATTTCAAAACCGGTAAAAGTAACTAAAGGTTTACTCCAAGGAGAAAAAACTATTCCGATCTTGTTTTCTTTCTTCTTATCAGATTTAGAGGAATTTTTGAAAGAAGAAGGTGTAAGAGGGATTTCGATTGGACACCGTAACGAAATTATTTTACTTGCGTATGCGGACGACATCGTAGTGCTCGCGGACTCTCCTGCAGCTCTCAAAAAATACTAAAAGCCTTTTATAAATACTGTATTAAAAATCAATTAGAAGTAAATGAAAAAAAACAAAAATTATTATCTATAAAAAAGGGGGTCGGTCGTCAAAAAAAAAATAAATTTTAAATACGGGAATAAAAAAATTGAAGTTGTTAAAAACTATACTTATCTAGGAATACCCCAAACTTACACAGCTTCCTCAGAGGCGTCCCTGAGGGGTGCGATTTCGTCCGCAGCATTGGCAACAAGTTCGTCAATATCAATGATAAACCGAATGGAATTAAACTCGTGGGAACCGATTCCAAAAATATTTAACTCCTTAGTTAGTAGTACTTTTTTATATGCAATATAAATATGGGGCCTCCGATATCTCAATGAAATAGAAAAACCACAAACAACTTTTTACAAAAAACTACTTTTATTACCACAAAACACACCTAATTACGCAATTAGATTGGAAACGGGATCGCAAAAAATTGCGTGTAAAGTTTTTAAATTCACACTTAACCTAATTGAAAAAATTTTGAATATGGGAAACGAAAGATACCCCAAAATCTGTTTGTTACAATTAATCAATCAACTGGAACTGTCAAAGTGTAATACCAAATATAACTGGTGTGCTCAAGTTAAAAAAATGTTTGAGGATATAGGTGAGACGGTTGTATGGACTTTGGAATTTATTCAGGAAAACAAAGAAAGATTAATAAAAACTTATGAAAATTACTCGCGTGCAGAAGATGTAAATTCCCTATCAAATTCTAGTTCTCTTCAGATTCTTCCCAATCTCACTCTCAGAGATGGAACTCAAACTTATTTAAGAATGAAATTACCTCTTTTGTTTATAAAGGTGTTTGCTCAGATTAGACTAATTAATAAATATAACCCTAGAATAATTTACAAAAAAGAAATTTTGAATCTAAATGATAATTATTGCTGTGGAGAACAGGTTCTGAAAGAGAAAGAACTATACCACATGTTAATAGAATGTCAAATGTATAAGTTTATCAGAAAAAAATATGTATGCGACAGTGAGGACGAATCACTGATAAAAGATTTCTGTATAGATCTTTTAAACGATCCGAATCCAAATGGAGTGAAATCAATTAACTTTTATACAAAAAATGTAATTAAAAAACTAGGATAACATAGTACCAAAAAGTACTTTAAAAAGATAGCTTAAATCACCTCTTTTGTATGGACCTGTGGTCCGAAACAAATAAACTTATTATTATTATTATTATATATTAAACTTAATTTATAAAATTTTATAGGGACTTCTCGTCTATTAATTAATTCTAAGATTTTTTACTTAGATATAAAATTTAATTATATTAATTTTAATAAAGTTAATATTTTATTCAATCTTTCATTCAATTTTCCAATTAAAAAACTTTTTATTACGCTACCTTTGTACAATTAGAATATTGCAGCTATTTAAAAATTTTCATTGAGCAGACTAGACTTTTAATTAAATTTTAAAAGACATGTTTTTAATAAACAGGTAAATATTTATTTTGCCGAATTCATTAAAATTACTTTATTTAATTTTTATTACATTATAAAATTTTTTTACTAATTTAATCATTATTTTTAATTTTTTAATATTTAAAATTATAAATTAATAATTTTAATTAAAATTTTATTTAAATCAATTTCATTTAAAAAATAAATTATTAAATTTTTTTAAAAAATAAAAATTTTAAATTATATTATATAAATTTAATTAAATTAAAATTTTTAATCTTATTTTAAAATTTATCCTTGAAAATATTTAAATTGAAACTTATACCTACTTTAAAAATATAAGTATATAATATTTAAATTTATGAATTAAATTCATTTATTAATTAATTAGATATAATTAATCTCGACTAACATTTAATTACAAAAATTTTATTTAAAATAAATTTATTACTTTAACTTTATAAAATTTTATCCCTATTAATTTCGAAAAATTTAGTTTAAATAAAAATTTTTGATTAACCCTAATACAAAAGGTAAAATAAATTAAATTATATTTTTATTAATTTTTATTTTCTTTTACAATAATTATAATTATTATTTTTTTTTTAAATTTACTAAAAAAGATTTTTTAAAATTATTTTAAGTATATAAAATTACAAACCCAAATCTAAACTCCAAAATTAATTTACTATTTAATCTAAATACACCTTCACTACAACGATGCTATAGAATTTTTATATGAATTCTAATAATTATTAGTAAACTTTAATTAAAAAAATAAATATTTTGTGAAATAATTTAATAATTCAATGACAAGTTTAACACAAAAAGTATTTAAAATATTATGATTTATATATTTCAATGTTCACTAAAATTTAGTACAATACAAGTAGAAATTGTATAGAATCGTTCAAGTGAAATTCTATAGAATATTCACTATAATTTATATAGAATAACTCTATAGAATGGTTCTAGAGAAATTCTATATAACCTTTTCAACTGGGATATAACCTTTCAAAGGTTTATATAATGTTTTGGTAATATTTCATAGAAGCGCTAAACATAACGGCTGCTCCTTGAGAAAATTAATTAAGTTATTTTATTACAGCTGTTTAATTTTAACATTTTTATATGCATTGACTCACTTGATATGACACATGTGAATGTGTAAAAAAAGGACACTAAAATAATTTAGTTACTTACTTTATCTTCGTTATAAGTAACAGGATCGTCGCCAAGAAGATTTATGAATAAAAAAATTCTACATTTTCAACAACCGTGTTTAATTTTTTCTCTACCTCTCCTTACTTCAGTTCATCTTAGATTAAGAGAAATTAAAAACAACCAATTGTGTATGTCTTTTTCGAATATTTGAAAATATTTATGTGTATATGTGTGAGTATACATGTGTATATACTTTGTGCATATGTGTGATTATATATGTGTATGTGTATCGTGTATATGTGAGAGTGTACATGCGTATGTACTTTGTGTATGTGTGTGAGTATACATGTACATGTGTTTTGTGTGTATATGAGTGTACAGATGTGTATGTGGTTTGTCTGTAAGTAGTTTGTATACATGTGTATTTACTTTTTGTATATGTGTATGTACTGTATGTTGTGTATATGTGTGAGTATACATGTGAATCAACTATGTGTATATGCGCGAGTATACGTGTGTATCTACTTTGTGTATATGTGTGAGTATACATGTGTATGTACTTTGTGTATATGTGTGAGTATACATGTGTATCTACTTTGTGTATATGTGAAAATATACATGTGTATCTACTTTGTGTATATGTGTGAGTATACATGTGTATGGACTTTGTATGTATGTGTAAGTATATATGTGTATGTACTTTGTGTATGTGTGTGAGTATACATGTGTATGTATGTTGTGTATATTTTGTGTATATGTATGAGTGTATGTGTATGTGTCTTGTGTATATGTGTGAGTATACTTGTGTATGTGTCTTGTGTATATGTGTGAGTATACATGTGTATCTACTTTGTGTATATGTGTGAGTATACATGTGTATGTACTTTGTGTATATGTGTGAGTATACATGTGTATCTACTTTGTGTATATGTGAAAATATACATGTGTATCTACTTTGTGTATATGTGTGAGTATACATGTGTATGTATGTTGTGTATATGTGTCAGTATACATGTGTATTTACTTTGCGTATATGTGTGAGTATACATGTGTATGTATGTGAATATATTTTGTGTATATGTGTGAGTATATATATATGTATGTGTCTTGTGTATATGTGTGAGTATACATGTGTTTGTGCTTTGTGCATGTGTGATTATACACGTGTATGTGTATGTGCTTTTTATATATATATATATAACCCCCACCCCCCTCCTCCCCTCCCCCCACCCCAAATTTAAAGGTTAAGATCGTTTCAAGACTCTGAATATAGCCGCAAGTCCCCCCCTTCTCTTGACTTGTGGCTATATTCAGAGTCGTAGAACAGCGGCGGCAGCGGCTTCGCGCCCCAACCCCCATCCTCTCTTCCCCTCCCTCAACATAAATTTAAAGGTTAAGATCGTTTTAAGACTAAGAATATAGCCGCAAGTCCCCCCCCTTCTCTTGACTTGCGGCTATATTCAGAGTCTTGGAACAGCGGCGGCGGCGTTGGTGGCGATATCTTTTTGTAATATAGGTAGATATCGAAGATATCGGTAAGGGCAACGACGACGACGACGACAACCTACGAACAATCTTTTTAATATAATAAGGATTTCCAAACGCTTACTGTGTGCTCCAACTAAAACAATAAAAAAATGTAAAAAATTTACAATTTTTTGAAATTTTCATGGTTAAAAGAATCGACATGAAAATAGGTAAATTATTGAAAACTTTAGTAGTTTTCGTTTGTTTTTCATTGTGAAATATGAATTTTTGACAAATAAAATTTTCGAAAAGTTTTTTAATTATAATTCTTTCAGCATTAAAGAAAAATGCTTAACTCACAAAAATTATAGTTCCGGAATATATTTCTAACATATGGATCCATAAATAAAATGTGTGCTCGCAGTTTAAAAATTTTCATATTTGTGTCATTAAATCGTACGGTTCCGTGGATTCGCCCATATAGACAATTGATGATAATTCTTTTTCATTGATTAAGTTACTACTCAATGTATGATCAATGATAAATTTTCCTCTATTTAATTTAAAAGAACCTGATATTAATTCAACATTTGGTTATCTATATCTATTAGTAGACTAAAAACAAATTTTAATCAAAAATATTAGTATGACATTTAGCATTAAGCATAAATTATCAATATTTTTTAAAACTGAAATTCGCCGTGTGGCGTAAAAGGTTTTGCCAATATTTTTGAATTTAAAAGTTTATTTTTAACTAATCAAGTAATTAATATAAAACACCCAATATTACAAATTCGCCGTGCAGCGCAAAATGCGATTTTACTTTAGGAAGATCTTTCGCCGTGCGGCAAAAAAAGGATTCTATTTTTGAGAGTCTTAACTCAATTATAACTTATAATTGTTAATAATGAATGAATGTAAAATGTACCTCATATAATAATTTGAAGTGAATTTTTTTTTTAAATTTGAAATTGGGTAAAATTATGAGTTAGTTTATTTATTGTTATGTAACGAAAAGTGAGAATCCCACAGCTGCCACCAAATCAACTCATACGTCCCGAGCTGGGCGTGAATGTTAATTAATTTATTTGATTATTTACTTCGGAAATTAGCTGATTTATCAAGTTGGTAAGACTTGATATTTATTTTTATGTGGGTTGTTTTCACTTAACAAATCTATTGGTTTCGCGTTACAATAACAAGGCTATTGATTCCCAATTATGATGTTTATTATTCACAGTATTACAATTTTATATTTACTTACGTTTAATAATCTGTAGAATATCAATTAAGTGTAGCTAGTTATTATATAAGTTGATTTCATTCGATTTTGTTTCAACTGAATGAAACTAAATAGTTTGTTATATTACACATGTGTAGCTAAACAACTTTCTGTTTTTAATGATTATCTTTAAAGTTTATACACTGAAATTTACGTTGATTTAACTTCAGTTACACCTTAAAAAAGGAAGATACTTGTTTCTATGTGTGCGAGAAAAGCAACTCAAAATTACTACGTATTATAACTTTAATGTTATAATAATCATCAAATTCGACAATCAATTCAATGAAACTTGGTATGAATGTAGTACTCGGAAAAATAATGACCCGTATATTATTATATCTGCCATGATCCACTTTAAAGGGTAGTAATCACCCCTTGGAGTTATAGTGGTGTAATGTCATAATTAGAGGCTGTGGTTAATTGAAATTGAAATTGTTCAAACAATTATTGTTTAAACAATTACTTGAGATCAACAAAAAGCTTAAAATTTAATAACACAATTCTATTCTACGGAAAAATACAACGAAACTGTGTCTTGTAAAATTTTTTGTTATTTTAATTTACTTAAAAAAATAAATAAACAATTTTATAACTAATAAGAACTTTGCTTCGACAGGGGGTCGATTACGTACATCTCACTTCCCACATTTTACATCCCACATCCCACATCTCACTTCCCACATTTTACATCCCACTTCCCAAATCCCACATCTCACTTCCTACATTTTACATCCCACTTCTCACATCCCATATTTCACATCTCACTTCTTACTTCCCATATTTCATATCCCACTTCCCATATTTCACATCTCACTTCTTACTTCCCATATTTCACATCCCACTTCTCACTTCCCATATTTCATATCCCACTTCCCATATTTCACATACCACATCCCACATACCACATCCCACTTCCCATATTTCACATTCCACATCTCACTTCCCACATGTGGGAAATGGGAGAGATGTGAGAAGTGGGAAGTGGGATATAAAATGTGGGAAGCGAGATGTGGGATGTAAAATGTGGGAAGTGAGATGTGGGATGTGGGAAGTGGGAAAGTTACGTAATCGACCCCCAGTACGAAAACTGTCTGCGTCATCATGCAATGAAAAACCCGAGATGTAAAACTTTGATAATAAGGTGATTATCCATACAAAAATAAAAAATATATTCAATTGTGTAACGATTTTTTTTATTTCTACGCGTCACACTTTAAATAACAATTTTGAAACATCACAAACAAATGAAATTTATAATTTAAAGAAATATAACGTATATTTTAGTCAATCAATTATTCGAGATCATAATCATTCAAACACCAATTTTATAAAAAATTAATCCCCAATTAACACTAATAAGATTCAAATTTGATAGATGAGCTCATCATGCGCTAAATTAATAAATCAATAGCAAGATATAATAAATTTTACATAGAGAGAGAGAGAGAGATAGAATTTTGAGACAATGAGAAATATAATAGTCACAATATAAAAATAGGACTTATCGCTTCCTGAGTTTCTCGAAGGAGATAATCCGCAACAGTGGATGAATATTTTCCTCTTGGATATTTCGTGGATTGCTCAACGGTTTCTTTTTCAATTGCAAATTGTGGGGCTCTCAAAAACATTCCCAGACATAAGTCAGACTCGATAGAAAGTGGCGTTATTAGGGTGATAAAGGGGTAAAACTTG